TCGAGAAGTTATATACAACACGCTTTCTTAAATTTAACTGCCCCAAATTTAGTCACATGGCTATGCTTTTGGACGTCCCGGTCACCAGGACTACGAGTCAAAATAAACCTCTATTCTCTTAAATTAATCCAGTCTCAGGTGTTTCTGAGAAAATGGACTGAGACAGAAATGACCATAGTCGGCAGGATTGTGTTGCTGCAGATACTTGAATATGCAGACCTTACCTTGGGATGGGGTAGTAGGCCAAAGAAGGCTAGGAAAAACCTAGACTCGGTGGAGACTCAGAAGGATTTGGAAATGAATTGGAACTTCTTAGAGATTGGTTCAATGGTGGTGACCAGCATACTGATAGAAATACGGATACCGAAGATCGTTCTGAAGAGGTTTCAGAAGAAAATGAATATTTTATTGGAAATGGGAGGAAAGGCCATCTGTGTTACACCACAGCAAAGAATTTTCTGCAAAATGTTCACGTCCTAGGACTTTGTTGAATTTCAAGCTGCTGGAGGTTTGGCAAATGAGATTTCCAAGCAAAATACAGGAGGAACCGTGTGGCAGTTGTTAACTGCGTTTGGTGAAATGAGAGAGCAATGAAATCATTTAAAGATAGAACTTAGAATGAAAAGAGCAGCAGAGAGGAAAAAATGGAAAATTTGCAGCCTGGCTATGCAGGGAAGAATGAAAAGGCACATGTGACCTAGAGGCTGCTTGCTAAAGAGATTAGCAGGGCCGGAAGGGCCCCAGTTGACCACAGTCGAGAAGATGGTGAAAAATCCCGGGACGTTGCCCCTCCCATCACAAGCACAGAAGCCCAGGAGAGGAGAATGGTTGTGGGGGAATTACTGAGGTGAGCTTGTTGTCCTGAGCCGCATCGGGACCCTCTCCCTGCATCCTGGAAAAGCAGTCCTCAGCCCCTGTTGGGTTTCAAATAGCCCTGCGAAACCTTGGCCTGCTGTTCAGGCTGCTGCTCCACCATCTGTTCCAGAACCTGCAAGGAGCAGGGGCTAGAAGCTGCATGTGGATGTCATTCTTCAGTCCTCAGGATTCAGGAGCGTGGAGACCTCTACTGAGAGTTCAAAGAATGTCTTAGACAGCCTGGGAGTTTGGACAGAGACCTGCTTCAGGGACTGAGCTAAGGACAAAGCCAAGCAGAAATGTAGAATTGGAGCAGAGAGAACCCACCAGAAGAGCTATTCCTAGGGAAGCTGCATGGGCAGGACCATCTTGAGACCCCAGGACCGTGGAACTGTCATTCAGCACTAGCCTGAGAGAACTGCAGAGAGGATGCTCCAACTGAAGAGAACTAATGCATGGACTAAATGCAAGACCTGGGGCACAGGGCTGCCTGACCTAGGGGGAGTCCGGCCCCCAGTGCATCTGAGATGCAGTCCACGGATTGCAAGATCTAATGAAACTTGCTTGGGGCCTGTCGCTCTTTGCTTCTGGCAGCATGGAAATTTCCACCCTGCACCTGCTCCACAGTTACATTTCAGGAGCACGTGATTTGTTCCGACTTCAGAAGCTCGTGGCTGGAAAAGTTTGCCTTGAGTCTCAAAGGAGACTTTGGACTTTTGAGTTGGTGCTAGAACAAATTAAGCCTTTTGGGGACTATCAAAGTGAGATGACTGCATTTTATACGTGAAAAAAAACATGCCCCTGGGGGGCTGGGGTGGAATGTTATGGAGGGATAATGGTTTGTCCCTCGAAGTTTCATGTTTTGGAATTTGGTGCTGGGAGGGGTCGAGGCCTAGTGGGTTTGACTGGACCGTGGTGACTAGCCGGTGAAAGCAGCACTCCTGTGACCCTGAGATACCTTCCGAGACTCTGAGTTCTGGCTCTTCGAAAACGGGTTAGTTCTCATGAGAGCTGCCTTGCAGAGAGAGCTGGCCACGCTCGCTCTCTGCCTATGCCTGCCATCCTCCGTGCTCCTGTTGGCCATGTAACGGGCCAGCCTGATTCCAGGCCTATGCCTTGGGACTTTCTGCCATCAGAATTGAGTCAATAAGTCCCTACTTCTTGATAAGTCGCCCAGTCTCAGGTTTTTGTTCGCAGTGCATGGACAGACTAACAGACCTCCTCTCTAGGTGTGCAGTCTAAGTCTTGTCTCTTTCTCTTACTCCATCTCTGAGGATTCAAGGATCACCTTCTCTTTCCAATCCGAGTGGCTATCCACATCTTTTTATCTTTGTCCCCCTCTCCCCAGCCCCGACACTCAACAAACAACGAAATGGACCTATCGACTAGTAAGACATGCCTTCCTACAACTCACCCCTCAAACACCAAGCACTCTCTTAGTTGTTAAAATATAAAGCAATCTGAGAGCAAGACTATCTTTGTCACCAAGAAAGTAAAACAGAGTTAAAAAAAAATCAATTACCAAACTGAACATAGTTATAAGTCCTAGATCTATCAGGTAATCAGGAAGGTTCTGACAAACTCCTCTATGCAAACATGCATCATGACTTTCTTGACGACCCAATAACGTGAACCATTTACATTTGAAATGTTTAAAATCATTTTCTGATATCAAAAGGTGACTTGGGAACCAGCAGTTAGCATAATGGCTATGTCGCTGGACTCCCACGTAGTCGACCGCGGTTCGTGTCCCGGACCCGGTGGCTTAAAACTCACGCCGGGCGCGTGTGCGTGCGTGCCCAAGATCCTGAGAGGAGAATGGAGGAGAAGGGATTGCGGCGTGACCATCCCCCCTGGGGGGTGATTTCTCGCTTTCTGTCTCTATGTCTCTCTCTGTCTGTCTGGCGAGCGCACGCGCCCTACAGTGAAAATCTCTCAAAAAAAAAAAAAAAAAAGGTGACTTCTGGAACCAACAGTTAGTGTAATGGCTATGTTGCTGGACTTCCACATAGTCGACCACTGTTCGCGTCCTGGACCTGGTGGCTTAAAACTCACGCAGGGCGCATGTGTGTGCGTGCCCAAGATCTCGAGAGGAGAATGGAGGAGAAGGGATTGCAGCATGGCCATCCCCCCTGGGGGGTGATTTCTCACTTTCTGTCTCTCTGTCTGGCAAGCGCACACGCCCTATAGCAAAAACCTCTAAAAAAAGAAAAGGTGACTTCTGCTTATGATATTGAGTGTTAAATGGTAGCTTTATACTTTCAAATGCAAGTGATTATTTTTAAAGTTAAATTTTTTAAATTGGTAACCTTTTAAAATTTTTTAAATTTTTAATTAATTTATATTCATTCACTGAGCATCGTCACAGCATACAAAATGTGATTTTCCATTCAGAATATACTGCATAGTGGCTTAATCATCCATGTTATCATCGATAATTTTCCACATATGTATGTATACATATATACACACACATATATACATTTTCCCCCTATTTCTCACCCTCTGCCATTTCTCACCCTCCTCCTACACTATCTCTGGTGTCTACAGTTTTCCATTCTTTTTTTTCCCCCACATTTTATTGATTTACAATATTTCTTAAATAATCTAACTACTTTCAATAGCAAGTTCAGCTGGTATATACATATCTGTGAATACATGTCGGACTTTAGGAGTGAAACTGAGTAGAATGAATATATTATAAAGTAGCACCTAGATTACTATGGTCATTAAATTCATATTTTGGGAGGCCAACAGATGGCATGGTGGTTAAGGACACTGGACTCTCACATGGCTGACTGTGGTTCAAGTCCCGGACCTGGCGGCTTGCTTTCTCACTTTCTCTCTGCCTCTCTCTCTCTCCCTCTGCCCCTCTCTGGTCAAATTAAATAAATAAATGGATAAATAAATAAAATAATTTTAAAAATAGGCATTTTTAAAAATGTATTTTTTAATGTCAAGAAAAGCAGTTTTAATTTTAATAAATCAAAGAAATGCTAAGAACTTTGCTTAAAACTTAAAGCCAGGAAACAGGTTAGGATTCTGTTCAAAT